TGCATGGAATTTCAATGCATAGACAAAAATGATTAAAATATATATCTATACAGTGGTGGCCAAAATTGTTAGAACACTTGGCATATTTAAAACGTTTCAGTTGTTTTTGTTGAATTGGCCATTACAATACCCATAAAAAGAACTATTGCTGGAACTACCAGCGACATAAGGAATCTGCTGGAACATTGAAAATGATGGACCTCAAAGTCGGGACCTCAACCCCATCGAGCAAATTTGGAGCAAGTTGGAAAATAAACTGGACAGACCTATTGTACATTCAGGAAAGCCTTTGGCTTGAGTTGCAGAAGGCATGGGATCACATTAGTGTTGAAGTTCTCAGGAAATATATTGACACTATGCCAGAGAGATGTGCTGCTGTAATTGCTGCAAAAGGTGGACATACCAAATATTAAAGTTAAAAGTGGATAAAAACAGTATGACTCACTTCATCTGATATTTGTTGTGCTCAGAGCAACCATCTGCATGTTTCATGAACATTATGAAATGAAATCATGTTTTGGAGGCAAAAAAGGAGGCAATATTATCAGATCTGTCAGCTGTTCTAACAATTTTGACCACCACTTCTTTTGTGTTTTTCTGAAAATGAATGAAGTCCTTTGGGTTTGGAACAACATGAGGGTAATTAAATGCTGTCAGAATAAAAATTGTTGGGTGTACTAACCCTCTAATTAGCTCTAGCAAACATTTAATCATTAACCATTCATGATGATGCACAGTGTAAAAATAAAAAATAAAATAATAATAAAAAAATTGGACTGGGTTTCTGTCAACTGAAAGTGCTTTGCATATCGTCAACCTACTGCTTGCTGCTGGTCATACTCAATGATTACAAAATATATGTTCTAAACCTGTTGATGTTCATTCGCTGCACTTTCTGTTAGGACACAAAAATCAGACAGTCTTTCTAAGAATGGACCAGTACTCCTTTACAGAAGTTCTGTCCTTAGAAAACTGTTTAGGCCATTAATCTCCCTCATCCTGTGATGTCACAGAGCATTAATCAATCAGAATTCAAAGTTGTGTATGTGTGTGTGGGGCGGGGTGCTTTTGAGTGTCAGAAAAGAGGGTGTGAACAGGAAGCCCAGCGATGGGACATCAATTAATTTGCAGGTGAAATGTAATAGTTTATGAGCAACCTGATCATTTCACCTGTGAAGTCCAAAAAAAAGAGAAAGAAAGAAAGAAAGAAAAGAAAGAAAAAAAATGATGATGGCTTTGCTGTTCCAACTTAAACATTTAAAGTTATCAAAAGCAAAGGGACTACCTTAGGTGTCATGTTCAACTACATCTGTTAAAAAACAGCAAAGAGCATTTGAAACCCCAAAGCAGCATCATTGTGATGGTGTCACTGTGATAAGTTTCACTCTTGGTCTCTATTATTCACAACTAAGTGCTTTCTGACTGCAAAGTTCCCTGGGAAAAATGTAGAGGGAAACTGACTAAGATATCACCAAGCAGTTATGATACTAATAGAAAAGTTGTGATTACATAATAATTACATGAGTCTTCAGAACAGGGATGCATTTACTATTGTGTAACACCTTAAAGTTTTGAAGACACCAACTCTGGTTGTGGTGGAAAAAGTTGGTTTTCTGTATTTTCTGTAAGAGATTATAAACTCATTTAAAGGGGTGGTTGATTGCGATTTCACTTTAACGTTAGTTAGCGTGTAATGTTGCTGTTTGAGCATAAACAATATCTGCAAAGTTACGAAGCTGAAAGTTCAATGCAAACGGAGATGTCTTTTAAAATTCTAGCAGTTTAATGCCTACAAAACCGGCTGGTAGGGATTACAACAAGTTGTAATTAGTTAGTTCCTGGGTTCGTGACGTAATGAACCAGATAAACCCCACCCTAGGGAAAAGGCAGCAAAAGGGGCGGGGCCATGCAGAGGAGAGAAAACTAGAGGTGCACGTAAAAATCTATTCATATATGAATCGTGATTCTGTTTTCTAACGATTCTAATGGATTCACAAGTTTCAAAATCAATGTTCTAAAGCATCGGTTCTCAATATTGTTCCTTGCGTTCCCCTGCTCTGCATCTCTCTCTCTCGCTCTCATTCAGCTCAGCTCCAACAGTGAACTGTTCCAATTACACACTTATTTTCACATAGCTATGAGAAGCATTAAAAATTTATGCGTGTGCAGTTGCCATACTGTATTAAATCTTTAATCTGGATAAAACCGTATATTAAAAGCTAACATAAGCAGTAGCATTTACAAATAACAGCATATCTAAAAGTATGAGACAACAACAAACAAAAAACATAGGCCTACCATTAAAAGCCGTGCTTGCACAGGTTCTGCACGATCCTTTTCAATAATATCCTCTGATTCTCAATCGGGCTCAAACTGATAAGTGATATTAACGACGCCGTTGTTTACAATACAACCAGAGCACATGCTGCTGAGGTGAGGGGCGGGACGTTTAGACGCACACTAGAGGCGGTTTAGCCAATCACAACACACTGGGCTAGCTAACCAATCAGAGCCCATCTCCTATTTCTGAGGGTGGGGCTTCATAAAAACAGGAAATGATCAGTGCGTTTCTCAGAGAAGGGACAGAGTGGTGTGGAATAAAGTTTTTTTTTGTTTTAAATGAAGCATTAACACATGGTAGACTGCACCCCATAAACACAATCAAGCCTAGAAGAAACAGAGGGGTTAGAGCTGTCATGATCTCATGAAATGTTTTCATCTGCACAAAGCTCAAAGAACTGCCTCTTTTCCTCCATTCAACCCAATCATACCTCAGGGGCCCCACAGTTCTTACACAGGAGAAAGTGCAAAGATTAACTTAAAGGTCGCAAAGGCCAACTTCAGGTCACAGAAAAAGTTCTGTTTAGAACCACTTAACTTTCTTTAGTGATTTATAAAAAAAATCTAAATAGAATTTTTAAATAGTTTGAATACAGATTTCTAAATAGTTTTAATAATTATTAAAATTGTTCCAAATGAATCCCTATGAAAATAATCATGCTGTCGGAAAGCATCAAACTAGATACAGATAATCCATAATTCACACTAATTGGTTTATTTATAAAAAATGTTAAGATCACTGTAAAGTTATTGCAGCTGGAATCCACAGAACCAGGCCAAGATTGGCTAATCGGGAGCACTTGGAGAATTCCCGGTGGGCCAGTCTGTCTTTTCTGTGGCCGTGAGGGCCAGTGTTGTCATGCCACTGGGTTGAAATATGGATGCTGTGCCTAGGCTGCCTGCACTCACAGCAGCCCACACTTTTTATTTATTATTTTACTGCAGCCCCACTCTTTTTATTTATTATTTTCTCACAGCCCCACCAGCCTGCAGATGACATAGGCTGCGTTTACACTGGCACAAAAAATCCAATCTTTCGCTCACATCTGACACAGATCGGAATTAGTTGCACAAGTGTAAACACAAAAACCCGCACGAGATCCGATTTTTTTGCATCCGATCTGAGCCACTTCCAAATGTGGATTTTAATCGGATACACATCTGATATCTGGACATCCGACCTACGTCTAAACACACATATCCGATTCTCCACAGAACTCCCAATGCGAGGGCGGCACTTTGCTCAAAGATTTTTAATGGCGTTTTAATGCCGGCGTGCTGTATGCCCTCGCATTTTACTGAGATTGAAACTTTTTATAGGTAAGAAATTGCACATTCAGGAGCTGGTTTTCAACCCCCGCCCCGTGAATTTTGAAAATACAACAGCTAAAAGCTACATATATTTCTCAGCAATGAGGTGATAACTAAGAAGTTTTTGTAATTAAACCAAGCTTGTTTGCAATGCTTCACAATCGCAAGTTGGTGCATGTGTTCATTCTCTCTCTTTAATTCGAATTCATTTCAATAAATATCATCTTTATTTCACTAAAGAATTCTACCTCTAACGCGCTGTAGATAAAATAGTCTAACAAATTAAAATTACCATTATTTTCCGGTCTTTATCCGTTCAGTCAGATTTTGTGCTGCAAAACATCCATGACAGCCGTTGTCCATGCTGGCAAATAATAATGGCCATTCGACGTGAATTATATAAATAATTTTAAAAGCACGGCCATTTAAAACCCGATGGCCTACCATGTGCATAGTAAAGCGATCATTGCAGACAATCCTTTTGGGTGGGAATTAGGCTAATGTAAATACAGATATCGGATACCAGTTGTGTCAAAAGTGAATGTAAACGGACGTGCCAAAAAATCGGATATGGTCAAAAGATCGGATCTGTGCATTAAGATTTGCAGTGTAAACGCAGCCATACTTATCTTTTGACTCCCCAGACAGCAGCACAAAAAAAAAATCAGTTGTTGGAGACATGCAAGCAAAAAAATAAGAGATAAAAACAATGGATAATAGAAAGCGCAAAGGTGGCACTGAAAAGGCCAGTATGAAAAAAGAAAGCTCGAAAATACAATGAATTACAAGGCTGTAGAGAACAGTGCATTACTGTAGACTTATATACTGAGGTTTTAATTACATTATTTTAATATAGTCATTTGTGAACTAAAGTGGGCCGTTCTAAGGCATGACACTCCAAGCAGATTAGGATTAAAGCATAAATCAAATTGTTTTAGCACAATTTGGGCATATAAATTGGGAGTTCAAAAGATAGCAACAGAAATACATACAATTAAATAAAAATGCATTATAATAACTCCAATAATTACAGGACTTCCATTACTTTTTCCAGATATTCTGGATAATTTTACAGAAAATTAATTGAAACTGCTCTCACAAAGAACAGTTTCTAGTGGAGAAATATGTGACTTAATTCTAAGTAGAAAAACTCATTTACTATAGACATTTCAATGACTTTTAAAGATTTTATTAATTTACATGGCTTTTCCAGGTTTCTCTGCTATTTCTATAGAACAAACAATATAAAAAGAAAACAGAGACAAACAGGAGAGATGAAAAGACCACAAGGGGCAGACACCCAAATGAAGGCGAGTAAGGGAAGGAAATAAAAACAAACAAACACCTACTTCTCAATTAGGTCCAAGGTCACTCCTGGCACCAGCTTTGCACTCTTCTGCATACAGAACCTTAAGGAAAGAAAACATACACAGACACTCCTTTCAATTTCTGCCTCATTTGATTTTGCCCAAATCCATTTATACGTACTGATTCGTGATTACTCAAACCAGGCTTGACCTCTTAGCACTGACCTCTCGCTATACCTAATCTCCAAACTTTCATTTACCTCCACACACAGGCATACATAAAACACATTTACAGTAATCAACTGAACTAACCCTGGAAGTTAATATGAGCTTTATTTGATCAGTGCCAGCTTTATGTAGATATGGCAGAAAGAAAAGACCAATGAAGATGGAAAATGATGACTATTCATAAGACACAGCAAGGGGTTATTCAGTATACATGCAGCTCTTCATCATTCATCTCTTTTACCTAGCTGTACCATATATCTATATTTGTATTCTACTTTATGAACAGATCATCCAAAATGCAAACTTAATGATACTTTCTGGTTAAATCTGGTTCATTTGTCACATGTTCAGTCCAAGACTGATGCTATTCATTTGTGACATCCATCATGCAAATAGTCAGTATTAAGCTAAACTGTGTGACTGTTGAATTCCTTCCTGGAAAAAAGGGGAGAAAAACATTCATACAGAGTTCAAAATGATTGTTCATGTTCATCAAGCTGCTCCACTTCCTACACTTTGTGGCATCACAGTGTGACAGTCAATTGCATCTCCACAACAACACTTAAACACCTATTTTACCTTATCAGTTCAGTAGCCTCCCAGCAGTGGTGAACAGTGGCATGAAGTAGAGAGAGAGCAGGTCAGAGAGATATTGAGGATACCAGACACCTAAAAGCTCACTGCTATTTTAAACTAGATTTTACAAAGACTAAAATGTAGGGGAGGATCTCAAGAAAATGTGCTGTTCATGGAAGTTTTTACATTACACCCTGTCTACACTGGATGTGAGCAGCATGTTGCCTCACGTCATATCAAAAGCAAATTGAGTCCATTACAATCAAAGACACTGACTAAACTAGATAAGGACAGTAGACAGATATTTCCATATATCTGATGTACTTCCTACGCTTGAGCTACTCTTAAAAACAGAACAGATGAGGAAAGGATGTGATCTATTGGAAGCATTCACTTTGACACATCCTGTTTAGGAAAGTGTGGATATATATATACATATTATTCATCATATTTTACGTATTTTATATATATATATATATATATATATATATATATATATATATATATTATAATTTTATACATATACCATAATGCAGAGTTTACAAAGATACTTTTGTTAAAATGTGCCAACTGTTTTGGATCTGAGAGCTGCCACATTGCAAACCTAAAGAAAAACGGTTTGTGACTGCTATTTCATGTTTAATTGACCTATTATGCCCCTTTTTACAAGATGTAATATAAGTCTCAGGTGTCCCCAGAATGTGTCTGTGAAATTTCAGCTCAAAGCACCCCACTGATCATTTATTATATCAATCTGAAAATGCCTATTTTGAGCGGAAGCAGAAACAGGCTGTTTTCGTGCATGTGTCTTTAAATGATCTGCTGTTCCCCACCCTCTCC